CCCTGTAAACGTAGGCAGTAGTAGCAACAGCCTACTCTGACGTATCACTTTTTCTTCGCTATGTATATGTAATCGATAGAAAAATAGAAATAACGACACGATCGTTAGATTCTTAGTTTAATCTTTTTTGAATAGTAATCCATCAAATTTTTTTTCAAATTATAAAAAGTAATTTATTAAGAAATAGATGCGAAAAAATAATAAAAAAAAGGGGATGAATTATGGTATATTGTCCATCAGCTTTTTAAATTAACAGGACAGAAGAATGAACAATTGAATGGCAGATCTGAGACGAAAAGTATCGACAATGTGTTCAAGGAGTTGTTTTATTTGAGATTAAAAAAAAAAATAAATAAATACTAAAGAAAGGAAGAGTTAAAAATTTTTCTTAAAAGATAGATGAATTAATGTATATATTTTTTTCATCTTTTTAAATTAACATGGCAGAGGAATGACCAATTGAATGGCAGATCTAATTAGAAAAAATATCAATAACGTGTCCAAGAAGTTTTTTTCTTGGAGATAAAAAAAAATGAATGATGAAGAAAGGAAAGAAAAATTTTGGGAATTGAAGCAAAAACGAGGAAAATTAAATCAGAAGAGAATTACATCTCGCATTGTTGAATGAGGGGGGAGGGGAAGGGTGAGTATTCTGGACGGTAATGGCCAAGTAATGGGACTCTAGTCTCCCATTTTGGCCCGGATCGGAATTTATTTCGCCATTTCGTCCTTTTTTGTCGCTTCGATGGCTCGGAATCTTCAGGATGGATTTGCGAATCTAACACAAAGAATTCGTGTGCCAAGATTCGTTCAACCTTCCCCCTTCCTATTCCACGTGGTGATTTTTGACTATTCGTCAAAAGTTTCGACCATTGAATCGATTTCTATCAATGAAAATCAATAGGAAATATTCTCTTGGAGAGAGAGAGAGAAAAAAAAGAGAGAAAGAGAAAATATTTCGTACACAAGATGCTTCTTCTCTTTCGGTTTATTTTTATTTTTCGTTTCATTATGAGGAAGAGGAGAAGGAAAGAAAAGAGCATTCTCGAAATGGAATCGAGTTCGTGAATCGAGTTCTTTCAGAAAAATCGAGATATTCGAATGTGAAATTCATCTTCAAAACGATTTGTTTGGATTGTTAAATTTTCTATTTTTTTTTTTTTTTTTTTTTAATAAATTTAATAAGTATAAGCAAATTCTAATACAAAACTTTCTTAATAATTATGCTTGTTCAGTCTCTCTCTAGTTAATATTCAAGTAATATTATTATTTTGGAGTTACTATACTATACTATTATTACCAATATCGATAATTTGAATTGCAAAATAGATCGATAAGAAAACAAATGAAACTTTACGGAACGAGTTTGATAAAGAAACAAATGAAAATTTACAACTTAATCTTACCAATTATAATATTTCACGGATAAAACAGAAATCTATATGTATAATTTAAAAATTGTATTCTTTACGACAAATCATTGTAAAAAAAAAAATTATTTAATTGCCCACATACATGATCATTAAACTTAAAATAATTCCAACATATGAAACACCTTAAAATTATACCTATGATTCTAAATCTATTATCTTAAATTTTCCAATTTTCAATCACACAAATTAATCAAAATAATCTTGAAATAATTAAATCATTTAAAAATTCCTGATTTAAAAAAGTACCTTAAAATTTAATTAAAAAAAAAAAAAGGAAAAAAATGATAAAATAAATTAATTTTTCCAAACCAACAAAGTTATAATACAGCGTGACTATTTCTAACTTGCATCGTTTTGCATTCTTTTATTTAACATTCCAATTAAACGGAGAACGTGGCCGTGAAATTGCGTACGAATTACCATAGCCAAGAAATAATGAAACAGTCACGGAAATTTCACGCACGACACGTATCACTGTCAACAAGGTTTCGCAGGAACGTGTCCATCGATCTCTAAGCTTTAATTAATTTTAAACAGACGCCGATCGCGTGTCATCCCAACTTTTCATACGATTGAATTTCAATCGGGTATCGACAGAAGGATCGTAGGTGTCCATTGACTTGTGAAATATCGATCCATCGCCACGATATACCACGAGGAGAGCGAGAGGAACTCGTTGACGGGCAACTTCATTCGATCTCGTCGAACAATGCGAGTTTATATTCGATCGCCATTTTGGTGAAAAACCGAAGACGAAAATTCGAAAAATCTGCGTCTATTGTTTATTATTATTTTTCCCTTTCTTTAAAAATAGCTATCAATTATTTCAATTTCCATTCAGAAGATTAATTTTTTGCCACTTTGAAATAATTGTTGCAAACAGTTGTTAATTTTTAATCGAAATTTAATTTGTTCCAGTGGCACGAAAGATGATATTATTAACTATTACAAGACTTTAATTCTATATTATAAGGAAAGAGATTGAAATACGTATTGGATATAATTTCTGTTTAGTAGAATCCACAATTCTGGTAATAAAACGTGATACGAGTTAAAATGAAATTTCATAACTTAACTTGGACCAGAGAGGAAATTTCAATTGATATTTGATCTAAAATAGAAACGAAATTTTACTAGTTAAAATTTAATCCAAGTTAAAATAATGATATAAATAATATATGTATATTTATTCGACTCGTGCAAAGTTAAATGTAAAATTCAATTTATTAAAATCGAAGTCGAGATTTAATTAATTAATATATCGAGTAAAAGTGAGATTAATAGAAAGTTCAAAAAAATTAAATCGAATCTAAAGTTCGATTCGACCGTGGCCTCGGAATCGAAATAAATTTATTTAAAATTTGTTGAAGAAATAATCGACAATCGATATCGGATTCAAGATCAATATGTATTTCTTTTTACAAAATAAAATAATCCAATCTCAAATTAAACGTAAACGTAAAATTCAATTCTGGTAAATTGAAAATCCGTTGAGTGCACCGTATCGTAAGTAAAATTAGACGGAAATTCAACGAAATTACTATCGAAAATTCGAGATTCTTTCACTATTGGAGGCATCGTAAACGTGGATAAGCGACCCAACGCTTGGTGCAAATAAAATCTTATTGCGGGGGAATTTTCCTATTTTCCAGGAAGCAATTCGACGAATTAAACTGCCTAACTGGAATTTTATCGTCGATGCGCTACCAAGAAGAGGCGTTCGTATCGATGACATACATCGTATTTAAACATCCGTGTAAACGCAAGGAAAAGTTGGAAAAAAATCTCGAACACTCTAGAGCGAAAAAAGAAAGAAAGAAAGAAAGAAAGAAAGAAAAAACACGTTTTATCATTTATTCCAGTGTACATTTATAAGACGTGTAATAAACTGTTGATAAAACAAGAATTTCGAATTAAGAAGAAAATACGAGTCTTTCGAGATATTTAAAAATAGGCGTTTAAAGAAACATTCCTTACGACACGATGTTTGTTAATTAGTATAATCGAGCAAGGTGAGTATAAATGATAACTTAATCACTTTTTTAAACAGAGGCTATCATCACACAGATAACTTATCTCAAATTATACGACGTTTCCTATTCGAGTTTTAACCACTCAAAACTAGAAAAAATTAATATTTCGCATTACTCGATCGACATTTTTCTCCTTGTTTCTTCGTTTTGTCTTCATTAATTTGCTCTAAAGATATATTCATGGTGGATTTTTTAATATTTATCACTAAAAAGATTTATAATTTCAAACTAAAGACATTGTTTCTTGATGGGTAATTTGTTAGGTTAGGTTAAATTACTTTGAGTTTAGGATTAAATCAAATTATTAAATTAATGTAAAAATTCAAATATTGTTGATTCCATAGAATTAAAATCTTCTGATTCATCTAGAAAAGCTTTTCCTTCGATTTTCTTTAAAATCGAAAAAGAATAAAACGAAATAATATTTCGATAATCCCGTACAACTGGATCCTAACCTCAAAATATTTTCTCGTTCATCAAACCCAAGTTAAATTACAATCTAAAATCTAAAATCTACAATCTACAATCTAAAATCAAAGATCATAAACGCCTTAATAATAAAATAATAAAATAAGTTTTTCCCTTTAAGAAAACATAACTTAAACTTAACCTCTTCCAAAGTTGGACATTAGCCCGAAAAACTAACTAACTAAAACAACAAAGTTTCTTTAAGCATAATAACCTTACTTACGAATTCTCGAATAACATTTATTCATAGCCATTTATTGTTGATTCGCTCCTCCTCTAACCTCGATCATTTCGCGCTGCAGTTATCTGCAATTATTCGACGCTTCGAACAATAAATTATCTCGGCAACTAACTTTATTCTCTGCTCGAATCGTGAAAATTTTATTCATAGGTCTCTCGCTGAAAAACTAACCAAAATTTCTTCAACAATCTTACTTACAATTCTCGAATAACAAAATTATCGTCGATTCACTCGTTGCACTCATCTGCAATTATTCGAACAATAAATGATCTCAACAATTAACTATACTCTCAACTCGAACCGTGAAAATTTTACTCACAGGTCCAATCTCTCTCGTTGAAAAACTAACCAAAATTTCTTCAACAATCTTATTCACAATTCTCGAATAACAAAATTATCGTCGATCCACTCGATCGCTGCACTCATCTACAATTATTATTCGACGCTTGGAACAATAAATTATCTCGACAATTAACTATACTCTTAATTCGAACCGTGAAAATTTTACTCGCAACCGTAAGAAAGCCTCGAGAACCACTCCCAGAATTGGCCGCTATCCCACTGAAAAACTAACCAAAATACAATCTCTTTGATAACCTTATACACATCTAATCCTCTTCGAATAACAAAATCACCGTGGATCCATCTCTTTCCCCTTATCTCTCCAATTATTCGACGCTTGGAACAACAAATTACTCATCTATCGCCAACATTATCCACAAAAACGATACCTTCCCATGCCTGGTCGATCTGTTTCCATCGCGGTTCCCGCCAATTCCTCTCTCCTCCCGTTCTGTTTATAAACAAAGCCGCCGAGAGAGAGTCACTCTCTCTCTCTTTCTCGGCGCGTAACCTCGTCTAAAAGCATCGTAGCGATGCGTGCAGAGTGTACGACGCCGTCCTTCCTCTTCCTCGCTCGCGTGAATGACGCCTCCGGTTCTTTCTGGTTCGAGCTCGCCATTCACCGAATCGTCGACGAAGCGGCGTCTCGCCCGCACCGGTTCGAACCGGTAAACCGGCTGCCTTGGGTCCCGGTTAAGTCCGCCTCGATTAGCGCCTCGGCAATTATTGAATGGCCGACCGGCCGACGATCAGGTTCTCTCCTTTTATCCCCGACTTCCTCAATCGAGACACCGATATCTCCTTCGCGTCCGTGTACACCGTTCGTCTCTATATTCGTGTGTGTGCATATACGTGTGTGCTCCTCTTCTTCTTCCTCCTCCTCTTCCAATGCGTGTACGCGTGTAGTACGAGAGTTTTAACATTCTTATCCCCTTAGTGAGTGGAACACGGGCAAGCTTCGCGTCTTCCTCGTCGAGAACGATCACGACCACGACCACGACGACGCTCCAAGATACGACCAAGGTTGGAGCGCGTGTGGAGAAGCAAGATGGAGGACGTGCCGATGACGGTGAGACGATGTTCAAACACGTTTGGATAGGAAATAAGTTTGTGAGGATGGAAAAGGTGGTGGTGGGTTGTTGAGGAAACGTGTTGAATCGTTGAACGTTGTTTTGGGATTTGATTAGATTTCTAAGAGCTTGAATATTGTTTGTTTTAAATAATTACGGTAGGAAGTTTGATTGACGTCGATTGGAAGATGTTAGAGAGGAGATTCGATGAATTTTACTTTGATTTTCGGATTCGATTATGTTGCAGAATCTTTAGATTGGAACGGAATAATTTTTGTCGAGGAATGAATCTTTAAAGGTGATTATTATTGGATTCGAGAAACAACTTCCAATTGATTCTTGTTATTATTTATCTGGGTTAATGAGACTGCGATATACGCCCTCGTAACGTGCAACTAAGAACACGTCGAGTCGCGACAAAAAAAAATATATAAAACTAGCGTGTTTGAATTTCACAATGTTATATAATTATATGTTATTTAAATTGCCAAGTTGCTACCCAACTAAAAATTTGCATGAATTTATTATTATTCAAACGACTCGGTCAATGATATTCTTTGTATAAACGTTTACTGCGATTAATTTTTAAATTTTCGTTCAAACGATATAACACACATTAAGAGTACTTATGTTTTTTTCATTCTTCTTTTTTTTTTTTTGATTCAATCTCGAAAAAAAAAGAAATTCAATTGCAAAAGGAAAATTTCGACTTTTGTCGATTTTGTCGAAGATTCGTTTTTTTTAATTTTTGCCTCGCGGATTTTCGAGTCCTCTGAACGGAAAATTTCGACTGCAAATAATATTCCAACCGGTGTATCATCTTCAATTTGTTTGGCGTTAATGTCCCACGAGAGAACGATTGACTTTTCAGATATATCTACGTATATGACAATGTCAGTTTTATCTAATCGGCCGATCTTTGCATCGTTGAGTCAACATGAGAAGAAATTTTCCTGTGTTTGAAGATGATTGATCTTTTTTTTTTTTTTTTTATTACTGAGTAAGATATCGGTTTTTAAATTAAAGATAAAAAAAAAAGATAAAAATAGACTAGTAAGCGATATTATTTTTCCAATGAATATAAAATTCCTCTTTTTGTTAACTTGTAGAATTAACCAGTTTTTTTTTTATATATTATTTTATATTATTTCTTTTGCCATCTTCGTTCCGCAATTTGAATTTTTCGTTTTTTGTAATTTCGTTTCGTTAAGTCGAGCGATTAGTAGCGAGTTGATTAATTGAGACGATGGTTGAATTAAGCTCATTCAAGCGAGAAAGTTAAAATTGTAACGGAAATTCTCGGATATAAATAAATTTCGCCAGAGTCTAATTCCGCCAGAATAATTCTGCCAAGAGGTGCGTGAACGTGGTTCCGTGTCAAAAGGGTAAAGCTGGCAGAAAATAACACCGTTAGTTCTGGCGCTGCATCAAAAATCCAAGTGAAGAGGAGTAAGAGAGTAAAATATACCTTTGAATCGATATCGAATCGATGCAAAGTTCGTGGCAACAAGTATTCCACCAAACTCGAATTTTCGAATATTTTACCCCTTTACCTCCCCCTCCCCTTACTCATCCAAAATTCCTCTTCGATGCTAGAAATTATGCAATAAAAATCAATTAAAATCTCCACGATCGGTTCGTATTTTTTCCAACAAAAAAATCAATCACAAATTTCAATTAAAATTTTATAAAATCTGTAATACATCGTATATACGTTGGACATCGAGAAGCGTATGTGCGCTCGATTTCGACACTCGTCGATCGAGGAGGAGAGGAAATTTGGATTAGAAAGGAGAGGGGAAAAAAAAGGACGAGGGAGCAATAGGCGTCGTCGTTTGGCGCCCACGTGAACCACGAGATGCCAAAGTTTGGGACCAGTGATCGGCAGGAACAATGAACGGTTTCCCCCCTTCCCAGCCGTTTCTATCCAGTTCGAACCGGAAAAGCGGCGACTGGCGGTCTCACGCGACGCGATATACTCGTCCACCCGGTTATTGGATACTATCGACAACCTCTCTCTCTTTCTCTCTCTCTTTTGCCGCTGTTTCGAGGCCGTGCCTCAACTTCCCGATGAATGACGCGTCTTCTGGGACAAGTTGATCGACCTTTGCGCCGAGGAGGACCGTGGAATTAAAAATATAAAAAGTATGTAAAATATCGTATAATTTTTTTTTTTTTTTTTTTTTTGCAATTGCGTTGTAAAATTTTCCGATCTAAGAATGGACGGATGAATGACTTCCCGATGAATGACGCGTCTTCTGGAACAAGTTGGAGGACCGCTTCCACGTGAAATTAAAAATAAAAAGCTTGTAAAATATAATAATTAATTTTTCTCTCTATTTTTTTTTGCAATCGATACTTTTGATAATGTTGTAAAATTTCTCGATTTAAGATGTGGAATGAATGGATAAATGACGCGTCTTCTGGAACAAGTTGATCGAGGAGGACCGTGGAATTATAAAAAGTATATAAAATATCGTATAATTTTTCTCTCTTCTTTTTTTTTTTGCAATTGCGTTGTAAAATTTTCCTATCTAAAATGTGAAATGGATGAATGTGGATGGATAAATGACGCGTCTTCTGGAACAAGTTGATCGACCTTTGCGCCGAGGAGGACCGTGGAATTAAAAATATAAAAAGTATGTAAAATATCATATAATTTTTCTCTTTTTTTTTTTTTGCAATTACGTTGTAAAATTTCCCTATCTAAAATGTGGAATGGATAGATAAA